AATTTTAAAAAAAAAAAAAAAAAAAAAAAAAATGAAGTGGAGAAATCGGTAATGTGTCTGGTAAGGAACAAATAAATGTTCTGTACTTGAAATGAAATAGAATTGCAGAAAATTTGTCAGAATTAGTTATCCAAGAGATTATCATGCGAGACAAAACGACTTCCACCTGTGTGAAATTCACATAATTTTCTTGGAAAACAAGAACAAAAATGAAAAAGATGGATAACGGCCGATTCAATAGTTTAGGGTTTCCAAGGCTTAAAAGGCACGACGAATACACCATATTAATTGATTTCTGCAGAGAATTGGAGTTAATAATGAAGAAAAACAAAAAACAAGATAATTTTTGGCATATAATTTTAATATATATCATCAATATACTTATGTTTCTCTACAGCAGAAGTACAAGAGATTTCTTCAGATTTGCATCTTCAATCACAAAATATAAACATAATTCAAAGAGCAAGCTAGTGTGTATATATATATATACGGTCCGGCATGCCTCACCTAAATTTAGCTATAGATTCCCCAAAAGTACATGTAAATCATTAACATTCCCAACCCACAAATTCTTGACAATAATTTAATAAACTGGCATAAATATTGTGTAATAATTATCAATCGATATAGCCCACTTGATGAATTGAACGGATCAACTACGAGTACCAATTTACGCCGGAAACTTGGTAGGGTAGTCCATCGAGCATTGCTTGTTGTTGCAAAGAAGGCGTCTGTGGAAGCTGGCTTAAGATGGTTGCAATAGAATTTGTGTCATCACAGTTATTTTCTCCAAGAAATCTCTTCGTTGGAGGGGATGATGAATTCCCATTTCCTTCTTCAATATTACTGTTCCAGTACAAGTTCCTCTTTGAACCAACCACTAAAGAAAGTTCTGATTTGGAAGTAACCGATGAAATTAGCGAGCCATTGTTCATTGCCACGTTGTTGTTTATCATCCCTTCGTACAAATTTTGATCATTTTCTAGCAGAGTTCCATAGTTTGATGCTCCCTTTAGTCCCATAGGTATTGATGGAGGTATCGACATCATTTCGTCCCGTTCTTGATCCATAGGCCTTTGCTCGTTATTCTTCTTGTAAATTCGACATAGTACCCAATCATCAAGCTGCAAGAATCAACAACAGTAATATTCGTGATTATC